TGGATGAACTTTCTGACAGTGAGAACAATCAACCCATGGAACAGAAGTTGCCGTCGGAAGTTGTGGGAGCTTCATCACTTGAGACTTTCAAGAAAAGATTGGATTCCCATATGTCAGAAATGGTGAGGTTTCCTGCTTGAGCGGGGGGTTGGACCAGATGACCTATAAGGTCCCTTCCAACTCTGTTAATCTATTTGGATTATGAAAGCAGCCAGGAGATGATCTGTGGTTAAATCCATGATCTAGAGTCGGTTTCCTTGGGAAGCCTACCGTGAAGGAGGCACTTTCTCTTCAAGAAACCCACCTTCAACTCAATAGTCTGAGGAAACTAATGTCCTGTCTCCATCCTTTCCATTTTAGGGACGGTTATTGAAAAGGTGGTCAGTCTGCACTTGATGAGAACCCTGGGTTATCTAGACCCATTTCAGTCAGGTTTCTAACCAGGATTTAATACAGAAAACACCTTGGACACACCTGTGGTTGGCCCGTGGTAGAGCCAGGGTGGAGGTATTACAATACAACCTTGTGCTCCTTGATCTCTCAGTGGCTTTCAGTGGTGTCAATCATGGAATTTTCCTGGGCTGAGATTGGGGATCAGGGACACAATTTTACAGTGGTTTACTTTCTTCCTCTTAAGCCAATTTCAGTTACTATTGGTCAAAAGAGGAGAGTTACTCCCTAGCTTGCTTCTTTGTTGGGTGCCACAAGGCTCAATAGAAATACGTATTTGCTGAGCTTATTCACAAGTTTAGAGTTTGGTCTCATTAGTATATTGGTGGCACCCAAGTATACACTTCTTACAAATAGAAGTGAGAAAACAAACAGTTCTGGCTACCTAGGAGCGCAGTGGTGCAGTGGTTAGAATGCAGTATTGCAAGCTGACTCTGCCCACCGTCAGGAGTTCAGTCCTGACCAGGTCAAGGTTGACTCAGCCTTCCATCCTACTGCGGTCAGTAAAATGAGGATCCAGATGGTTGGGGGCAGTAGGCTGACATAAACCGTTTAGAGAGGACTGTACAGCACAATGAAGTGGTATATAAACCTAAATGCTATTGCTATAGGTTTCCCCTCTATTGAACTTCTCCCTAATATCTTGCAAGACTTCACTTATATGTTAGTTCCAGTTACCTCTCATGACTTCCCAATGAATGTCTGGTATATGTACAGCACACAAATGTGCTTCTTAAATTAAAAATACGCAGGAAGGAAGGAAGGCGTTTCTAAATCCACAAATGCAGGTGGAGACGGCCATCCTACAGATGAGCAAACAGAATCAGTACTTGAATGCTCAGACTTAGTTTTTCATTTATTCAACTTTACATCTTTCTAGTTGAAAAATAACAGAGAAATTCATAGTATTTTAAGTTACCATTTGAGAGAACCAAAATGCAATCACTCAATTTTTGCCATGGTATCTTGTTCAATTCAGGCAGAGAACAAACCAATCATGGGTTTGTTCATTTAGCCATTTAATCAATCAAGCTGTTATCAATGTAATAGTTTTTTAAAAGACTAAAGCTAATCGCAACAGTGGAATAAGCAATGCATATCCAGATTTTTATCTGGACAGGCGAGTAAATTGCTTTTTAAGAGCACTTCTTACTGTGTAAAATAACAAAATATCCTTAACCAAATAAAGAATTATTACTCGTGTTTTTTTAAAAAAAATCTTTTCAAAAAACTGTCTGATTTCTAATTATAATAGTTCAGGGTTTCCCAACCTGAACATGATGCAGAAAGGTGAACTTCAACTGTCACATTTCTGGGAAATGACATTGCTGATTGCAGAAATCTGGAAAATTTTGTTCTTCTCTCTCTCTCTCTCTCTCTCTCTCTCTCTCTCTCTCTCCTTCTTTCTTTTTCTTTCTTTCTTTAGATTCATATCATGAGCAGTTAACAATTATTAAGAACGTCTATCGAGATTCTCAATCATCCAGGTCATGGTTGCCCCAAAGGCAACTGGACTTCGTTTTTTCTTGGGGAGCTTTCGCTTCTCATCCAAGAGGTTTCTTCTGTTCTGACTGAATGGTGGAGGACGGAAGGATTAAATGCCTTGCAGTCATCTGGTTGTTAGCACTCTCTCTGAGAGTCACTGAGACCACTTGGAGGTTTATCTGTGCCCACAGAGTCACCTGAATAGTGCAAATGTGTGTGGAACTTCCTTGGAACTGCTGAAAGGACTGTGTCATAAATAAGAGATAGATGGTGTCGTATTCCTCCCCCTCTGTAACAACCGAATGACTGCAAGAAATATAAATCCCTCCATCCTCCACATTTCAGTCAGAACTGAAGAAGCTTGTTGGATGAGAAATGAAACATCTTAAAGGATAAACAAAGCCCAGTTGCCTTTTGAAAAAGCACCTTTGGGACAATAATTAAGAACAGCATTTAAAAAACAAGCAAACAACGTATAAATTGCAACCAAGGTAAAAGCAAACTCATCATACCTCCTGATCCCCAGGCCCAGTGGACCTTACAAGATGGTGACAGGGTTGAGGATAATCTATTCCCAGGGTGGGAGGATGATATTCTGAATAGCAAAAACCATGAGAGAAAAGGTGAGTTTGCTGGGCCTTCCCCCCAAAAAATGAGTCCAGGAGAGCATGTCTCTTCTGTCAGGTCTATCTGGGGGACAGGTAGAAATAATTGGGGAGAGACAGTCTCTCAAATTACCTGGCCCCATGTCATGAAGGCCTTTATAGGTTAGAATCAGCCCCTTGAATTGAATCCAGAAGCATACTAGCAGCCAATGCAGCTCACGGGACAGAGATGGGCCATGCACTGAGCATGGAGCACATCTAAGGGCCTGCTCTCCTTGAGCATAACCTGTAACAAATCTGTCTCACTTTACTGAGGTTGAGAGTACATTATTTAGGCTGGGCATCATTTTAGATTGCTGCAGGATCTCAGTACGTATTAGGATAATTCTAAAGAATAGCAAATATCCAGGAAAAAAATGCATTAACAGATTATCTGAAGATGCTAATTCCTCCAGCACAGAAAGAGAATGAGCTTATACTCGTTCAGTAAATGCATGATATAATACTGAGAAAAAGTGTAGTGCAGTGATTTGAAGCAGAGAGAACTAGGTCATCAAGTCACCTTGGGAAAATAATTATCTCTCACCTTAAACTACTTTGAGAAAGAGTTAGGAAAACAGTAGTAGAGGATAAGCACGGATCTAGTTCCCTAGAGCAGTGGTCCCCAACCCCCGGTCCGCGGACCGGTGCCGGGCCGTGGAGTACCTGGCACCGGGCCGCGCAGCGGCCGGGGGACATGAACGCTGCAGCGCAAAGGCTCCTGGGCCGTGCGCAATGGGCCGTGCGCAAAAGCTCCTGGGCCGTGTGCAATGGGCCGTGCGCAAAAGCTCCTGGGCCGTGCCCCCACCCCTGCGCGCGCTCAGCGGGCCGCAGCGATAAAAAGGTTGGGGACCACTGCCCTAGAGGAGGGATCTCCAACCTTGGCAACTTTTAAGACTTGTGGACTTCAACTCCCAGAATTCCTCAGCAAAGCTGGCTGAGAAATTCTGGGAGTTGAAGTCCACAAGTCTTAAAAGTTGCCAAGGTTGGAGACCCCTGCTCTAAAGGAAGCAGAGGATAAAAATTAAACAACGAAGATCTCAGACTGTTATATCCCTTGGACCAAGAGGGACATGCACCAAGATCTCAGACTGTTATGTCCCTGACTGCTATCCAAGATGCCTGCCCAGGTATGATGCCGTTGAACTTAGTGCCAAAATCCTAATTCCTGTCACAGAGACCGGATACTCCACTGTGTCTTATTTCTACTTGCTCTGAAGATAAGGCAAGGAAAAGTTATGCTTCCTTCAGGGGGAGACATCTCCTTTCCCACTTTCAGAAGAGAAAAGGTGGGAGATCTCTCAAGGTTGCAGGAGCCCTTGAGAAAGTCTTGATGGGCACTGACTGGTCTCTGAAGTAAGACAGGGCTGGAACCAAGAAGGGGCTCTCTCTCTCTTGCAAGAGGCAGTGATATCACAGCTTTTCTATAGCTCTGCTTCTGGAGGATAGTGAGAGAGAGGGAGAGAGATACCCACTATAAAATGTCCTGCCAGGACCTAAAATTGGAAGACGTGAAATTTATACACCACCACATTGTGGCACACTTGATGAATAATTACACCCTGGGGAGTTAAATAGGTCCTCAGTGGGCTTCCTCATCTTTAACCTCCATTTATGTTACAAACTAAGTACTGCCATATTCTTGCTGTCTGTTGGCATGGGAAAAGATAATGCTCGGACAACTGCCCCCCGGGGGGGGGAACTACAAACTGTCCCCACTTCACCTGATCATCATCCCAGTACTTTTCAGCCCAAAATTAATGCTACCATCATCATTGCCTTAGATTTATCTGAAAAGAAACAAGTCAATGATACTTCACTATTAACTATGACATGAAGGTACTTTTATCAAGCAGAGCATTTAGTTATCTTAAGTTGAGGAAGAAATATCTGGGCAAAAAGCATGCAGCCAAGTTTTTGTACCCGCTTCAGTTTCAAGTCAGATTCGATCATGCTGTCCTCCATAAAAAAAAAAACCAAGCCTAAGGTTTATTCCTCTTCAGAGACAGCCATGCGTTCATTCTGCACCAACTACAACCTACCCAACTTTCGAGTCAAGTAGTTTACGTAGCCTGCCCCCAAATGTAATTTTAAAAAGTCTTTTATTAAAGGGTATTGAAAAATATATGGAAAATCCATTAAGCGAATCAGGGTTGTTTTCTTAATGAAGACATGAAGTGAACAATAATTCCCATTCACTGGCTCTCTACGCTGAAGACAGAAAAAAAATGTTTCTAATCATGAGGTGAGGGAGGGGGGGAAATAATGACATGGCCAGAGTATAGCCCCTTTGTTTGCAATTTCATGATGCCCATCCTCCTCTCAAGAGCACCAACTTCGGATCACGCGTGCACAAAAAACGATGGGGAAAATGAACACAGAATCAGAAAACATGTACAAAAATCTTGGAAGTTCGGGTACCTTTAGCCCAGCATATTGGAAATGGACTACAGCCGCTCCTCTCCATATACGTAACACCTGCTTGTTTCCGGGCCTGCTGCCCTGAGAAATCCAAGAGCCACATACACACAATTGTGCAGGGGTCGTGCCAGGCTCCGGCGTTACAATGATCCAATTCAGCTCTCTCCAGTAGTATTGACTCCTGCGGGAGGGCTGGGAAGTCTGCCACTTGAATGGACTCGGCGGCGGCGGTGGCAACGGCAGCAGCAGGAGGAAACCTGGTTAAGTCCCTTTTCTTCACTTTGGTGCAGAGGTGTAAGCCAAAACTGAAAAGAACCCCACTCCCTCCACCCTAGGAGCCAGCCCCCTTCCTCGGCGATCCGGCAGCCAGGAGGATATAGCCTTTCCGTTTCAAGAGTCTTCTCCTGCCTCGATCGTTTCAAGGGGGAGGCCACCTTTTTCCCTAGACAAGCAAGCAAAAGGAAGGAGACCAACCAGCCGCAATGTGACTGCCAGTGTCTCTATTCCTAGATTCATTGGAGGGGGGGGAAGGGGGACTGGAGGGAGGAGGGAAGGGGGGGAGGGTAGGCGATTAGCAACAGCCTTATTAATATGCTAATCTCACCCTTCTGTTCAATTCACTCAGCAGTCTCCTGTTTACAAAACTGACAGCAGATTCTAAAACTGACCCGGGTTTCCTGGAGCTGCAAAAGCTGCCCCCGGAACCACTCACTTTTAAATCGGTGCCTCTGGCTCTTGACCGACTTACCGGACGACAGGACGACTGGCAAGAAAGAAGAGAAAGGAAGAAAAAAAAAGATTGGCAAGAAAGAAAGAACAAAACGATTCACTGATAGGAATGTGGAGAGAAGTCTGCAATAAACACGGGGAGACTTAACTCTCTAACTGGTGTTCGTTTAAAAGTGATTAAATTACAAACTGCATTCCTTTCTAAGCACTAGACCAGGGGTGTCCAACCTGGGCAACTTTAAGACCTGTGGACTTCAACTCCCAGAATTCCCCAGCCAGCCATCCTCTCCCAGGAATTCTGGGAGTTGTGCTAGACTATGTAGTTATTTCAAAATACTTTTAGGTTTCCAGAAATATAAGAAAGTGGTGTTTTTTTTTTAATTCAACAAAATATATGCAATAAGAAAGTAAGTGCATGGAAGATGGGATGACAGTTTTTAAAAAAGTATCCTGTCTTTTCTTTTCTTTGAGTGCAACCGTTGTTTAAAACCTATTAAAGCCAATCAAGTCAAATCATACATGTTATTTGCAAGTAGAATAAAAATTAAGATATATTTCATTTCCTTTAGGACAAGCATAGGATTGCAGGCTAAATTATCTATGTATACACAAATCGGAACTTGATTCCCAAAATTTTTGGTTTATTCTTATTAAAAAGTATTCTAATAATGGAGGGATTCAAACAGCTTTCTTCTCTAGGCACCCAAAGCATTTTCTCTACAATATGTTTATTACAGAGATATAACAGTTAACCATTCTGTTTCTTGCTCAAAATATGTTAACACTGCTTTCCAGGTAAGTTAAAATAGCTGGTGATGTACAACAGATTGCTTCATTTAATTAACGATCATTTATTTAGCTTCAATCAACAATGTGGTTTCAAACCAGAAGCAACCAATAACAGCTTCTGTTTAACACCTATCTATACATTCAGTTTTTCCTCTATATTTCTCCAGTATGCATTCAATGGCTGCTGCTTTTTTTCAGTTGAGTGAAAGTCAGAATATAAGCAACCGTATGCAAGACAATTCCTCTTGCAACACAGATGGCCCTCAGTGGCAACCTGCTTAGCACCTGCTTAGGACTGCCACAAACCAGCCTCAGATTAAATAATCTGAGATGTCAAGCATTTAGAGTTTCGATTTCTAAGGCTGCCCACTGTAAAACTACACCTGAAGCTTGAAAGGTGTTAGAAGGATTGCCAACAAACATAATTGGTCATAGGAATCGAAATGGCCATGCAGGGTTGGGAGAAGAAGGAACCACAATAAGTAAACAGACTTAATGGCAGATTCGCACATTCTAAGCCTGTTCCTATGGGAAGAGCTTGGTTTCTAAGGATCTTTTAAAGGACAATAGGATTAAAGCTATATGGAGGGGAGGGGAGGATTTTGCTCCAAGATGCAGCCACAGAGTAGTCTACTATGGGAACATCAGGGTTATGTAGTTTTTTGGATTCAAGGGGAACAAATGGCTTTGGGGAGAATATCGGTCCAGATGTAGCTTCTGCTGGACAATCCTTAATTGGAAAGTCTCTTCTCCCAAGTTCACACTGATGCTGCATAAGGAAACAACACAGCTGCTTTAAAGAGTGCTACATGGGCTGAATCCAAAGCACCTTTTTCCTTCAAATCAGAAGCACTGTCACCAAATATGAATTAACTTTGTAAGATGAGAAAGATGGAGGCAAGGGAGAAGTAACAAAAAGAAAAATCAGATGCAGGTCAAATCTTGAGATCACTTACTGTTTGCAAACCAAAACTCTCGCTCAATAAGACTTCCGTGATATTAATTTCCCAGTTCCCTACGTGTTTCAGAAGCAAAGCTATTTTTATTTTGTTTGTGTTTCAATTAGACTAGCATTACCTTCTTTTCTTCTCTCAAGAAACAGTGTTTATTTCTATCAAATAATTACACTCTCAAGGAGCTTCCAGAAATAGCACGCCAAAGTTTTTAATAATGAAGATTGTGGGCGCTCTCACAAAATGACTCCCTGCCTGTTCACTGTATTTTTGCTAATGTTGTTTTTATGCCTTGTTAACCACCCAGAATCACAGTTGAGGGAGGGAGGGAGGGAGGGAGGGAGGGAGGGAGGGAGGGAGGGAAAGAAAGAAAGAAAGAAAGAAAGAAAGAAGCAAGCAACGGGAGGCCAGCTATAAAACATCAATTTGCCAGAATGATGGTGACATGATTCACAATACCCTTGTTCGCTTACTTTTTTTTTTTAAATTTGATTTATATGCCGCCCTTCTCCGGAGACTCAGGGCAGCTTACAGTGCGTTAAGCAATTGCCTTCATACTTTTGTATATTTATAGAAAGTCAGCTTATTGCCCCCACAAACTGGGTCCTCAATTTACCTACCTTAGAAAGGATGGAAGGCTGAGTCAACCTTGAGCCTTGGCGAGATTCGAACCTGCAGTAATTGCAGGCAGCTGTTCTTAATAACCAGCTTAATAACAGGGTGCCCTTGTTCCGTTTCCAGCACTGGCTGGCACACTTCCCAACGAAGCCCTAGAACAGGGGTCCCCAATCCCCATTCATGAACTGGCACCGGGCCGCAGCATGCCAGAAACCGAGCCATCGCAAAAAAGTTAAGCCCCATCCATGGCAGCACACGAAATCATGCCTCCTTCAGACCGCAGAAAAGCCTCTCTCCACGGAACCGGCCCCTGGTCCCCAAAAGGTTGGGGGCCACTGCCCTAAAACACAGCCACCCTCTATGTTTATTTCCCAAGCAAGTTTAAGAGCCGTCTGGAATACAAAGGTATTTCTGAAATTAAGATAATGCAGCAGGCTGATATTTACATTTCCTTTTAAAAAAAAAGTGGGAAGCCATGTATGGGGACAATAACAGCCCACAATAACAAAGGTGTCTGCTGAGACCATAAGAGATGCGTAAGGATAGCAAGTAAAGTAACCCAACATGCAGCAAATATGAGACCATCTTTCATCCTATGTGGAATGCCTGATTTGCACGGGTCATTCAATCCACAAATGATATCCCTGAACATATTCAAGGTAATCAAACTGCACAACAGTTTGAGGAAATAATCCAATTTTTTTTTTTTCTATATCTAAAATCATTCTTTGCTGTTAAAGTGTAAGATGGCCACCGGTGTCAGGCATAAAAACGAACGCTCTAAAGACTTGGCAACGTAAGAGAGTGAATCCCCATTTATTTAGTACATCTCATCTTGTTAACATGACTATAATTCAATGACATTTATTCACAGCCTTCATTGAAGTAACCGACAGGGAATAAGCTCTCAGTAGAAATCTCACTGCATTTCTGCGGTTGAAAATAATGAAAAAATTGCCACTGATGCCTTCTTGAATACATGGAAGGTGGAAGTGGATTAGAGGCGGTAGACAGGATCCAATGAGTATTTGGTATTGGATGGGAGTTAACAGTGTTATTTGGATAGCAGGAGGAACATGTTATTTCTTCACCTGTTTCCTGATAGTAACGATATCTTAGAACCGTGATGGCGAACCGATGGCACGCGTGCCACAGGTGGCACGTGGAGCCATATTAGTGGACACGCCAGCTTAGCTCTGGGGCGCATGCGCGTGCCGGCCAGCTGATTTTCGGGCCTTCTGGGCCCACCAGAAGTAGGGAAACAGGCTGTTTCCTGCCTCTGGAGGGCCTGGGGGGTGGGGTTGGGGAAGGCCCATTTTTCTTTCTTACCTGGCTCCACATCCTTTCTATGCATCTGGGAAGGGTGAAAACAGCGTTTCCCACTCCCTTGGAGGCCCTACAGAGGCTGAAAGGGCCCATTTCCCGACTCCTGGTGGGACAGGAAATGACGTTTTTTTTCCTGTCCCCAGCCTCCAGAGACTCCTAGAGAAGCTCCTAGAGACTCCTAGAGAGCCTCCTGGAGACTCCTAGAGAGCAAAAAATGTCACTTCCTGTCCCACCGAGAGTTGGGAAATGGGCCCTTTCAGCCTCCGTAGGGCCTCCAAGGGAGTGGGAAAGGCTGTTTTCGCCCTTCCCAGATGCATAGAGAGGATCTGGAACCAGGTAAGAAAGAAAAATGGGCCTACCAGACCATCATGTGCCAGGAGCGGGGGTGGGTGGGGTTGCGTGCGCATGCGTATGGGCACGTGCACGCACGACCCTCACCTGCCCCCCCTCTCCTGGCACGCGATGACAAAAAGGTTCACCATCACTGTCTTAGAACTATCTTCAAAATGCGGGCACATCTGACATTCATCTAATGCAGGAGATGTACCAGAACATTGGAAATGGTGGCTTATTTCTGCCCAAGAACAATCATGTCAGAGTGTTTACAGCGTGACTACTATTTTGAGACAACCCAGGAGCAAAATACAGGACACAGAGGTTTTGCCATTACAAACAGTGGTTTATATACAAGACTTCTATATACAGACATATACGTCGTAGGCACATACCAAGCAAGCAAGCAATCTTCAACTCTACACGGAGAACTACAATGCAGATAGAACACGATGAGGAGAGAGATACGCCTTCTCATGGCCTCCCTTATATAGACAGCTTCTTAAAGCAGCAATAACCCTGCTGACTCATCCTCAGTCTTAAAATGGCTGTTCAGCTTTAATTACTCTGACAAATCATGATCAGCATGACAGTGAGGCATCATAAGAGAGAATAGGCTGGGAGAAGGTACCACAAATACCACCACCCGTGTACAAAAGGATCAGAACTCGAGTCCTGATACGTTAACATCTCTGCATGACCATCACAAATCACAAAAGATACCTACAGATTC